CTATCCTCAGCTTGCCCAGAACCCAGGTGCGCAGACCCAAGTGGGTGTACACCTGCCAAGTGGGTGTACACCTGCGGGCGTCTCCAAAGTTCAACCTTGCTTTTCTCCCAGGAATTCTGAACCTTGGTGAATGGCCCTACCATCTACTCAGTCACCAGCCTGGAACCTCAGGAGTTACCTGGGACTGCTCTTTCTCCCTAACTCCTACGTCCACCTGGTCACTGAACCAGTTGGTTCTTTTTCTCATCTTATCCTTATTCCCCTCACCCCTCCTCCTTCCTCCTACTCAATGTCATTCTCTTAGTTGAAGCACCCATCATTTCTTGCCTGAACTCTGTCGGAGCTTGCAAACTCGTTTCTCCGCCTCTGGTATCATCCTCGCTTCCCCTGAAACTCTCCTCTCCAGCCACACCCAATCTCTCTTCTAACACACCAGTCACACCAGAACTACTTGTATTTCCCCATGTTTTCTCATCTCCACATCTTCATGAGGCTTTTTCATCTCTATAATCTTTATGTCCCTTTGCCTGAAGCACTCTGCCTCCTCTCTAATCATCTATTAAACTCCTACTTATTCTTTAAAACTCAGATCAGACACCATCTCCTCTAAGGAAGTTCTTTGTGATACCCAAAGTCAGATTCCCCTCCTTTACCCTCCTTTACACTGGTATCCAAATATTGTTATTAGCTCTAAAGTATTTAAAAGATTTGAAGTCTTTTAAACAGAGCATGGCAGCTGGGGTGGGGGTTCAGATTCTCATAAAAGCCACATAATCAGTCTGTGCATGGCTGTAAACAGAGTAACTTGGTGTCCCCAGGCAGAACAGCAGCCCATACCAAGAAGAGCAATGCCCCTTCATCACCCAGACTGTTGCCAGCGCAGGGCAATGGTGTCTTTCTCGTATAGGCCTTTGGCTACAGAGTTAGGGCAGGTAAAAATAAAGCACTTCTAAGAAGGCACCCCTAAAATCTGTTTCCAAATCTCCTGCTCTTTTGCTATAGTTTAATGTCGCCAGCTGCCTGTGATGTTCCGCAGAGACATCAGGACAAGACTTAAAAAAAAGACAGGCCCTCCCTGGTGGCGCAGCGGGTTAAAGCACAGCACAAAGAAGCTTAAGCCACTTCCACATGAGTTCGATTCCCGCCTGCCCCAGAGGTGACCACATGG